CAAAGTAGTCACAAAAAAGTCTCTGATACACTTAAAGAGGGCAACAGAAAGTAATTGTTGCATATCCCTTTTTCCTCTTTTACTGACCATTTTGACAACGAGGATCCCACAGTTTTGTCCACCTACTTGATTAAAGGGAGGGTCAGAGGATACAGTCAACATGATGAATCCTTTAGATATGAATTTCCTAATTAAAACAGGATTAAAAACTGTAAGTGGCTCTCTGAACTACAGACCTTATTCAGTGCAACTACATAGCTCTGGAAACCCCTGACACCCATGCTGGACAGACAGTATTATATAGAGTCTAGAGTACTCCGGATTGCAGATGATTCGGGTTTGAATCCCACTGTCAATGCTTGCTGTGTGACCTTGGACAATTGTTTAACCTCTCTGAGTTTTAGCTGCCTTATCTGTAAAATTAGGATAAAAGTAGTAATTGTCTCATAGGATTATTATGAGGATTAAATGAGTTAATCTTAGTAAAGCACTTAGTACCAGTTGTGGTTTATGAAAAAATGTTCAACATCCTAATTAACAGGAAAATGCAAACTAAAACCACAATGAGCTATCATGACACACCTGTTAGAATGGCTATTATCAAAATAAAAAGTAACAAGCATTGGGGAGGATGTAGAGAAAAAGTAATCCTTGTATTTTGTTGGTGAGAATGTAAATTAGTATGGTCATTACAGAAAACAGTATGGAGTTTCCTCAAAAAACTAAAATTAGAATTACTATATGATCTAGCAATCCCCTTTCTGGGTAAATATCTAAAGAAACTGAAATCAGTACGTCAAACAGGTTTGTGCATGGCCATGCTCACTGCAGCACTATTCACGACAGCCAAGATACGGAATCCACCCAAGCGTCCATCAACTGATGAATAAAGAAAATGTGGCATATACACAGTGGAAAAGAAAATTCCGTCATTTGTGCAACATGGATGGAACTGCAGAACATCATGCTAAGTGAAATAAGTCAGGCACAGAAAGACAAATACTGCATAATCTCACTTATATGTAGAATATTAAACAGTCCAATTTACAGAAGGGTAGAATGCTGAGTAGAAGAGGCTGAGGTTGGGGATGGGAAATGGGAGATGTTGATCAAGGGGTACAAAGTTCCAGTTAGAGTAAAGTTTTAGAGATCTCTTGCACAGCACAGTGACCACGGTTAATAATAATATATTGTATATTTCAAAATTGCTAAGAGAGTAGATTTGAAATGTTCTTACTACCAAAATTGATAAGTATTTGAGGTAATAGATATTAATTACCTTGATATAATCATTTCACAGTGTATGCATATATCAAAACATCACATTGTACCCTATAAGCATATAATTTGTCAATTAAAAATAAAAAGTAGGC